ATGAGGAACGCATTGAATCATGTGTATGCAACAACTATTTTTGGTGGAGTTGGTTGTCTTTGTGCTCTGTATTCTCTCGTTTCAGCTACAGGACGTACCTACAAGGCTGTAAATGAAAAGGGTGAGATGACCAAAAACACATGTCCCATGATGTGGTGGAACTACTAAAAAGAGAAAATAAGAAAGTAGTGTTAACATTTGCTGTAGCTATAGAGGGTTAGGGAGGAAAAAAAGTTTATGTGGACCATTTATTAATTTATTATATGAGTATTTCTGAAATAGTGTTTTGGATATTTATGTTTAAGGTGCAGGTAATATTTACATATATATATATATATATTTGTATGGGCAAGTGTACGTTCGAGGCATCGATTCACATTTTACTAATTGCCATGCTACTTTAGTGAAAGAGAAGAAGAAGAAGAAGGAAGAGGAGGGAACTGTCTGTTTGTTTTTTATTTGAAGGGAAGAAATTGATAGAACTATGCGGTTTTTTGGAATCCTCATGTTTTGTTTTCTGTGGTGCAAATCCACATGTTTCTAGCATTAGCGATGCTTATCAATATTTGTACATTTTTTTTTTTGTCTATGGGAGGAAAAGGGGGTATGTAGTCAAGTATATATACAGAATGATATGATTTATTTATTTATTCTCTTTTTTTTCTATTTTTTCCTTTTTTCTTTCTTTCTTTCTTTCTTTATTCTTGCAGGACCTTCTCAGGTGAGGAGTACGGAGGAAACAAAATGCCTCCACGGCCGACAAAACCAGCCGGAAAGAAAACTGGCAAAACAGTGCGGGCCAAACCCATTTCACTACGGGATTTATACATCAAATCATGTGCGGAGGTTGGACAGAATCCAAATAGCGCTATGCTCGATTTCCTCTCAACGAATACATCCTCCTCTAGTATTGAATGCATTGATGTTAGCAGGAACTACTTGGGTGATAAAGGGGTTCTTCCCTTATTGGCCGTGGTGGATCGATGTCAAAATTTACAAGAAATAAACCTTGCTGAGAATGGTTTACGTAACAATGCCATTCGTGCACTTTGTATATCGGCTGTCAAGCACCCATCTCTTCGGTGTATTGATGTCTCCGATAATTACATTAGCGAAGGTGCCGCTGTTCATCTTCAACACCTTCTGGAAGACAATCCAAGGATACGATGGCTTGGGATAGATAATACCAAGATAGATGTTGAGTGGCGTGTTAAACTCCGCGATTTGGTCCGTGCAAATGCGGCTGCGGCTGCGGCTGAGGCTGCTGCAGCTGAGCAAGATGTATCAGGTCAAGAGAATTGACAATAAATGATTATGTATAAGTATACTCTTGTTTTTTTTTCTTGGTACATTTTTTTTTTTTTATATATTATTGTAATTTGTTTCTTTTTCTGTACGTGTGATGGAACACTATATGCATTGTCCTCCTGTAAAGAGGAAAAATAAATATATTTTTTGTATGGGTTTTATTGAAAATTTTCTATTTATCATTTTATTTATTTATTTATTTATTTTTATAATAATATAAAAACATGGTGTGGAAAAGTTGTTGGAAGTTTATGTTAGATAGTTGTTGGGTCTTTTTAGTTCTTTAAGGCGATGTTACAACCCAAACGGGTGAGATTAGACCGACCAATAGCGGCGGCGCATAAAAACATTTTTGCATTTCTTCTTCGCGTAAATGAAGAGCGCCGAATTCACGCAACTCTTCGAGTGGCCGGCGGGTGGGTGCGGGATGCCCTTCTCGGCCTTCACTCACAAGACATTGACATTGCGATTGAATCACCAGAGTCTAAGCATATCTCTGGAGAGGCCTTTGCCCGTGAGGTTTCGGCTTTTCAAGAGGCCATTGGTTTAACCGCACGAACGGTAAGTGTTATTCGTGTAAACCCCGAGTTGTCTAAACACATTGAAACAGCAACTGTCTGTGTATATGATACTCCTATTGAGTTTTGTGCATTACGGCATGATGAGTACACCAAGTCTGATTCACGTATTCCAGTTGTACGACCTGCTACAGCATTAGAAGATGCTCAACGTCGTGACTATACAATTAATGCCCTTTTTTATAATTTACATACGATGGAGGTGGAGGACTACACAACAGGATTAGAAGATCTGCAACGTTGTGTCCTTCGATGTCCATTAGACCCAAAAGAAACTTTTTCAGATGATCCCTTGCGTTTATTGCGTGGTATTCGTTTTGTGGGTCAATTAGGAGAATTAAACTTTACACTTGATGAAAGTATTATGCAATGTGTTGATGAAGAACTTCTTGGGAAAATAACATTAAAAGTTTCACGTGAACGTATAGGTAAGGAAGTAACAAAAATGCTTTCAGGACCTTTTCCTGAAAAATGTGTTGAACTCCTTTTTAAACTTGGTATACTTCAACACGTTCTTTTGGCAGAACTCTACGTAAAGAGTAGTAAGAAAGGACATGCTACCGCTGAAGTAGAGAGGATTGATTATTTGGCTCTTAATAACACTATGTGTAAAGAGAATCTTGAGTGTTTATATTTGCTTAATCACACATTAGGGCCACTCTTATCAGAGAGTGGTTCACCTTTGGAGTTATCGTTGTCATCATCCGATAAGATGATAGGCATGTTGTTTATTTTATGTCTTCCTTTTTATCGTGGTGTACCTCGTGATGAATTGGCGGATCGTCTCTATGCGTTGTGTTTAAATGGATTAAAGTTACCTTTGGCTTCCTATAATACATTAAAACGTATGATTGATTCTTATAATACGCTTTTAATTCAAAAATTAGATATTTCTTGTATTTTGGAAAAAGGGGTAACAATGGAGATGAAAAATGCGATATTTGAAGGTTTATGTGATTTGAATGATAAAAAAATAATCCCTTTAGCCTTTAAGATTGTTCTCTCAGCGTATATCCTCATTGAAGAGAAAAAAGATTTTCTTGACGGTAAAAATGTAGAGATGGTGGCTGACTTTATTCGAAAGATCTGGAATTTATTGGAACAGGAAACTGGATTGCTTAATGCCTTCTCTCGACAATTGCCAGTAAGAGGAGATGAGCTTTCTAAACTTGTTCCTCTTGACCCTCAGTCTATTGGTCCGGCTTTGTTAGCATTGCGAAGATACTTGATGTTTCATCCATCTGCATCAAAGGATGAGATGGTTTTGTGGATCAGGAATGAAAAGGATAGATTATTAAAATAAGTGATCACACTTCCTCTATTTATTTAAAAGGAAATTTAAGTATATATTTGAATGAGAAGAGGGGGAATCCAAAAAAAAAAAAAAAAAAGGTTTTTCTTCTTCCATTATGTTCTTATGATATGTTTGTTATTATTATTATTATTATTATTATATGTTTTTATATGTATGTGTTTTTTTTTGTTTTGTTGTTGCTCTGTTTCTCCACACACACAAAAAAAAAAATATCATTATTCTTTAGCTTGGCGTGTTACACATGAGCATTATTAGTTTTGCACCGCTAACAAACCTCAGTTTTGGATCGGGGAAGAAACCCGGATGGTCTTCTGTGGTGGCGTGCCGTCGACGGTCTGCGAAGCCGGGAAAAGAACCGGAAATTACTGCTGTATTTCTAGACAGTAAAAAGAGTGAACTACGTGTATGGAAAGAGAAAAAGGGAATAACAACATTACGAGATGCAGGAAAGTATTCTACACGTGTTGTGAATACGGCATGTGATGGACCATTTACAGCAGTTTTTTTCCATCATGATAAAGGAAGACGATTGGGACTTGCCATTTTACAACATGATCTGACTAACATTTCCCATTTGGTATCTAATCCCTTTGATTGTAGTGAGTCCCTTGACGCCATACTTGAACCTTTGGTTTCAAATCAGGAGAAAGATAAAGCATTAACGGCACTTTTGATTCTTCATTCTTCTTGCCTTAAAGAAACGAATTCAGGTCTAGTAGTGAGTGCTGTGTTGTCCACACGCTCTGGAGAAGTTTATGTGGTGATTGGGGCTCTTTTCTCAAATGTCTGGAAACGTTTTAGACTGGAGAACAGTTTTGGAGTACCTTCATGTCTTTGCATTCATAATGAACGTGTGATTTCAGTTATGAACTGTACTGTAGGTTTACCCGTAGACCATACAATTGCCGTGATGGCACCGACAGTAGAGTTGGCTTTATCGGTATTTGATCAGGCACGTCTGGATGCTTGTAATGAGAAAAATGAAAGTACGAAACCATCATCGATGGGAACATCCGCGAGGTGTGTGTTACTTCGTGAGTCTATTTTTTCACTTGATGATGGGGATGCGATTGTTCAATTATGCTATCAGAGCCAAAGTTTTCGCTTCACTGGAAAAGGAGACGAAGGAAGAGGAGGAGGGGAAGAAGAATTGCAATCAAAACCATCATGTCGTCTATTTCTTGATAACGAGAATCTACGCTACGCTATTGTGGTATCACTCCCTACACAAAGTTATATTGTACATATGAGACGATCCTCTCTTAATATGGAATTAATGTCTACATGTACAAAGATAGCATCTCAGTGTGTTATTCCTCATAGTTTGACGTGGCTTCAATTAGAACATCCTTTAAGACCTGAAAGTGGTCTTCAAGTACTCTTAATGCTTTCACAGGATTATCGCCTCTATGCTGCTGAAGTATTTGGGGATGCTATTTCTGTTCAGATAGCTGATTCTGACGATATGGTTTATTTTATTCCTCCTAAGAAATTTCGTGTGAAAGTAGAACCTGTACCTGAAGGTTCTAACGATACAACACGACTCATGCGAGTTTCTAGTGATGAGTTGATTTGCACCAATGGATTATTGGGAGTAGTGCTGCAGGTAACAGGAATCACCATTGATGGAGATGCCCCACATCCACCACTTCCTCTTCAATTTGATATGGATAAGGAAGGACCTGAAAGACGAATTATGACACTTGTACGTTGTTTACAATACATGGAAAAGTTATCAAAATCAGGAAGTACAGACCTTCTTCATCTTATTTTTCAGCGTGTATTGCCGGTACTTCAATGTACGGGATCATCACAACGTGAAGTGTTTCTCACACAGCGGATGTTTCAAACACTTTTAAAAATAGCCACACCCAAATCAGATACAGAGTGGAAACTTATGTGGTGTCTAACAAAATTTCTACAAAAAACACTTTCTAAACGAGGGCGTGATAGTACGATGGTATATACAGATATTTTCTTTGTATACTTAGTGGGAAACTATGTGAATTCTAATGGAACAAGTGATGAACAAGAACAAGCAATAGAAGCACTTTTAAGTGTTGTATCGGATGAATTAAAAACTGCTTGGGAAGAGTTTATGCAAAAACTTGATGATAAAGTTTCTTTTGTATTAGATAGTTTGGCAGAACGTATTTCACCTGTTCTTTTGGCAGAAGAATGTATTCGTCATTTAATTATTGTATCAACCCTTTCAAATGGTACACATGTGGTACAAGTGAAGGCCAATGCTTCCCATATAGTTCATACCATCGCCTATGTTCTCTTGGCTTCTTGTTTGAATATACCACTCTATGTCTCTGTAGATGAGATGGGACACTTGGAGTGCTGTGTAAATCCACCAACAACAAGAACAACAACAAGAACAACAAAAACAAATAGTGGTGGTGCTGGTGGTGGTACCACAGTCTTTGTGCCACCACACACATTTAAGAATACCGCTACTTTTGAGTATGCGCTCACACTTTCTACGGATCTTCTTTGTACGGCAGCACCAGATACACCATTAACATCATGTGCTTCAGCTCTCTTGTCCATGTTGTTGGCAAAACGGTATCATGTTGTATCTACGTTTTTACAAGTTTTCGCCCTTCATTTGGCTGAGTATTTTGCCTCAATGGATTCTCTCTGTGATAATGTACAACTTATTACAAGTTGTGCAGATGCGGTTTCCCTCTCAGGGGCGACACTTTTTAAAAAATTCGTTGCAGACCCATCACCATCGGCTATTCTTTCTGTTCTTTCTAATGGTTCAATTGTTAATGATTACTTTAATGTGATTCTTTGGCGCCAAATTGGGAGTATTCTTAGTGAAGAGATGCGAGCATTTATTATTCTCTCAGTCCTTTATGCAATGACAGATCGTTTAATTGCCGCACAAAATAATTATTCGACAAGTATAATTAAAGTTCTCCTACAGGAAAAACCAGAAGATCCATTACGAGAGGAATCAGTAAAAATGTGTAGGAAAAGATTAAAAGTTGTATTGGATAGACTTGAACAACTATGGGCATCTGTTGAAGGATGGTCACCATACAAAGTTACAAGTATTGCGAGTAGTGTACTTTCATCCTGTACTGCTAGACAAGATGCAGAAGGAGAAAGACCTAAACTATCTCATGGATCAGCTGTCTCGCGTTCATATGTTGTATGTTTTCGTATGTTAAGTTTGATTAGTTATTCATACCAAACTGAAGAAAATATTATAGAAATCATAGATAAAGCTAATGATGGGAAATCGATTGTATCTGCTGCTTTTACTTTACTTTTAGCCATTGATAGACTTAATGGGACTGCGTTGCCTATTGAGTCTCTCCAATGGCGTTGTGTGGATCTTGCAGCTGCATCTATAGAGATATGTTCCCATACACCTGGTTTGAGTGGTTTCTTATTAGAAATGCTTCACCTTTCAGAGGCTTCACAGACAAATATAACATCACTTAAACAATACTACTATTCTGTTGTGGATCGTCTTAGTGAGGTATCAAAGTCTGATAGCGGAAACTCCGACTATCACAATCTTCAAGAACAATTATCAGAACAAAAAAAGAAATCTTCTTCTGCTTCTGCTGCTGCTACGGTTGCCATTTCATCAAAGATGACAAATAAATTTTTTCTTTGGTCAAAAAAGGCTGGTGCAGAAGTACCTGAATGGCCAGGTGATCATAATCTTCCCACCCGTCGGTATTTAATTAACGCTGATTGGGTGGACACAATGTGGCCAATTGAGTTTATACCAGAGTTGATTGAGGAGTGTCTTCGCAAAGCCCAAGAACGTGTACTCTCTCGCAGCATCACAGAAGCTTCTGAAGAAGTAGAGCTTTCACCGCCCTTTTCTCACGCATTGTTTCATCAACTCTGCATGCTCTCTCCACCAGTCCGCACACACGCTTTACTAGCACCAAATGAAGTGAATATTGCCGCCAGCAGAACAACTGTACAGATGTCAAGAGCACCACAATCATCACAGAAGAGTCTTATTGCAGACAGTCGAATAGCATCCGTACCACAACAGAGAGCACAGTTATCACCTGATCGAAAGTCACCTTCAGGACCTTCAACCCGGTTAAAAATAAGTGATGAACTTTTGACAACTTCTTCATCCTTGTCATTATCCTCTTCTTCTTCATCATCATCTTCAGCTTCTTCAACGTCATTGTATTCGTCGTCGCCATCGCCGTTGAAGGAAGGTACTCATGCTAGGACTGGTCTCCCTCCTCAATCTAATAACGTACCTCTTAAATCACCTCCCAAATCAAAATCTCATCCTCGTATTCAATCTCCAGGTGTAGTTGGTCAACCCACTGCTGTTGGTGCTGACGTTATCTCTTCCTTATATCCCCCTGAGAGTGTTGCATGGTGGGAGACAGGTAACACAACTGACGAGGTTTTGAGACGACAACGTATTCTTGAAGAGACATTAGGTGGTATCGATATTGAAATAACCAACAGCGCTACATCATACACAACAGCCACTAGTGAAAAATGGACACAACCACTTGATAAGGCTAAGGAATATTATCGTTCCTCAAGTCATCATTCACAGCACCGCTGTAAAAGACATGGTAGATATCATTATCGTTGCGCTAAACATAGACATCAGGGAACGCATATGGATCATGGACACTCTCCTTTCAAGTCATACCGCCATGCTTTACATGATGGGGATGATATTGAAGTACATCATTTATCACGCAAGGTTTTATCCGTATCACCCAAGAGAGAGATACCAACAGGTGTTCAATTACTGAAATTTAACAGTAAACTTGAGCCACCACCACTTCCACCGGGGTTGAAGGGTAAGATACCTGAACAACCTGTGCAGTTACAGAGGATGCAGGAGGTGGATGAGATGATACCACCTCGGTTGATCTCACTGCACGCAAAGCCGCACATCCCACGTGTGACGTTATTTGGTTTGGGAAATGTAGGAGGAGTAACTAACATGCGTGATATTGGAACTAATGCCCCTCCTCCGTTTCTTGCGAGTGCACCTGCAGTTCCACAGGCCCTTGTCCCACCAGCACTGCCGCCAAGCTCTGTGTTTGTGGACCCACCACCGCTGTTGAGATTGAATCCCCCAGTGAGTGTGAAGACCGCGCAGCAAGCGTCTGTGGCTCCAGTCACGACAGTAGGGAATGTGCAGCGTGAGGACCACCGTGTTGTGGAGAATGAAGAAGTACCAGTCCCCGTGTTTTCCACACAGCAACCAAAGCCACAAGTCTATCAACAGCAGCAACAGCCAGAAGTGTCTCAACAGCAACCAAAACCACAGGTCTATCAACAACAGCAACAGTCACAAGTGTATCAACAGCAACCGAAGCCACAGGTCTATCAACAGCCACCACAAGCACAAGTGTATCAACAGCAACCAAAACCACAGGTCTATCAACAACAACAGCCACAAGTGCCTCAGCAGCAACCACAACCACAGGTCTATCAACAACAACAGCCACAAGTGCCTCAGCAGCAACCAAAACCACAGGTCTATCAACAGCAGCAACAGTCACAAGTGTATCAACAGCCACCACAACCACAGGTCTATCAACAACAGCAACAGCCAGAAGTGTATCAACAGCAACCACAACCGCAACCATATCAACAACAACAACAAGAGAGACAACGAGAACAGCCACTTGGACAACCTTATTTTCCACGAACTACGTCACCGCCTCTGGCGCAAGGGAATATTGGAATGGTACCACCTTTCTTGGTGTATCAAACTCACTCAAGCGCTCCAACCAGTGGTACTGGTGTTGGCGTTTACCCGCAGAAGGAAGAAAAACCAATGGTAGCAGAGGAACCGAAGCCACAGGTTTCAAATGTTCCTCCAGTGTCAGAATCTTTCTTTTCACCGTCAGAGGGTGCGGTACGTCCGGTGTCTGCATTAGTAAAAGAGCCTCTTCTTTCACCTGCAGAGAATGTTGCATTTCGGATGTATGTGGATGAGTTGAAGATGAAAGGAAGTGCTAATCCTGCACTGTTGGTTCCCAGGACAGCGGAACCTTCTTCCTTACCTGCACCAGTGCAATCTGCCGCCTCTGGACAGGTGAGTGCGCCATCTTCTGATAGTCAACAACAGCAGGTACTCTTAGAAGCTATGAAGGCAATGCTTCTCCAACATGAAGAACATCAGGCGAAGCAGTTTAAGGAAGTTGTTGAGGCAATTAAAACTAGCATGCAGAGGATTCCCACCATAATGGAGAGTAGTGCGGCTGCAAACCGGCAAGTACAGGGATTAAGCGCTATAGAACAATCAGAATTGCTGCGTCATACTATTAGTCAAAAGAACCGTCTCATGACGATGAATCAAGAGTTGTTAGATCTGCAAGCGCGGGTTCAGACTCCCTCCTTGTCTTTATCAAACAAACAAGTCCAAACTTCTGTTGTTTCACAACCTATTTCAAGAAGTGAAGAAGAACGTACTACAGTTCCACCTCCTGTGCCTCTTCCAGTTCCTGTGAACCTCAATACTTTAACCACAGCAGGAAAAAGTGATGCGACTGCAGTGTCTTCTGGAGCTCCACTGGGTACAAGTATGGTAAAGAATGAGAATGTGCACACCATGGTACCAGCAGTACCTGTAGTGTCAGCAGTACCTGTAGTGTCAGCAGTACCTATAGTGCCTGCAGTATCTGCAGTACCTTCAGCACCTTCAGTGCCTGCCGTGCCAGCAGCACCTGTAGCAACAGGAGTACCTGCAGTGCCTATAACAACAACAATAGCTCCACCACCACCACCACCAAGAACAACAACAACAACGACACTATCAGATCAGATGGTGGATACTAAGAATATTCGTAGTGATGTGATCAATGTAGTTGCAGATATTCCTTCTTCCATGAGCATTGATCGTACCTTATCTGGACTTTCCCAAATAAATGCTGAACTGTTAAGAGCTAACGCCACAGCAGAAGACATGGAACGGGCTATTCAAGAGTCACGAGGTATTTTGCAGAGACATAGTTCATTAGGTAGTTTATATTCAGGTGCGCTTGAAAGTTCTCTCATGATGAATGCAGCTCGCAGACGTACATCCGCTCTTGAACAAGAACTCAGTGCACTGAATACTAGTAGTGCTTTGAAACCACAAATATATGATAATGCAAGGAGGAGTATTGTTATTGAAACACATCGTGAACAACCCAAGAGGGAGGAGCCTTCACATCAACACACATTTATTTCATCAAGCGTAGAGGGTTATAGTACAGAGGCTGTTCAAGAAAAAATACCTATAAACACATCATCGCCGTCTAAATATTATTTCACAAGTGAACACGTAGAATTTAAGGATAATTCAGATCATCATCTTCCTAAGTCATCATCTCCACTTCCACTTCCACCTCAGAGGGATTCTCCAAAGGACCGTAGTACTGCTGCTCTTTCTGTTGAGAGTCATGCGTTTGCCTCTCATATGGATGAGAGACTTGGAAAAGATTCCTCATTACTGGATCATACTTCAGATAAAGGAGCAAGGAAAGCTCAAATTTACACTTCTACTAGACGTTCTAATACAGGAAAACCTATAACTACATCTACTGGTGCTCTAATAACCAATATTGGCAATAAGAAAGAGACTTCGCTACAGCGTCAAACTGAGGTTTCACCCACACAAGAACCGATAGACTTGGGTCGGTTGTACACATCAGCTCTTTCTACAGGTGGAAAGCAACCAATACGAAAGAGTTCCACCCCGGCAAAGAGCCGGGCGAAGGTTCACTTAACTCCAAAAGAAGTACCAGAGAAATTTTCCATGTACTTGCCGGCTTCAGATTTGAAAAAACCACAGCGTGTTGGGAGTAAAGCTGCTACATCTGCGATTGAACCGAGCGAAGGTTCGACGAAGAATAGGGTAACGATGACCACCACTACGACAACACCGGTTAAGCGTAGTAGTACAAAAGTTCCTTCTAGCAGCAGGGATAGTAAGAGGCGGGATACGTTAGCACTGCATACATCGAAGCGGCTCGCTGATCTTCAGAGAGCCTTCTTATAGAGTAAACAGAACACAGTGGTGTGTATGTGTCTGTATATATTTGTGTGTATTTCTGTTTTTGGGGGAATGAATTTTTTAAAAAAAGAAAAACTATTTTTCTTCTTTGTATGTTTTTTTTTTTTTCTTTTTGCCCCTTTTTTTGAGAAGAGGCTGGGAAGACGGGTATGTGGTATTACACCGATTTCTTTTTTTTTTTTTATGATTTTGTATTCATTCTACTGTCTATGAATCTATTGTGTTTTTTTTTCTTTTCTTTTCTTATTCTGCATCTGAGTGTAATTTACTTTCGATAGTTCTGCGGCGTTTACACTTCTCTTTCTCTTCTTCGTTTTAAATTATTTTCTACGGTTTCTTCTTAGAGAAAAGAAAAGAGTAACCACATTTTACATCTTGACATTTCTTCTAGTTGCGTCAAGTAAACATTTCCCACACTAAGACTCACTACGAAATCTGTAGTAAGCAAAGAACAAGTCTTTGAGCGTGAGTCAGGGATCAGACAATACTATTACCAAACCAAACCCCTCAAATAAATACCCATCTCTACACATACATACATACCCACACTCACACTCACACACTCCACCGATAGCCTTTTTTTTTTATCACTCTTTTTTTTCTATTTGATTACTCATTCCTGAGACTCACTGTACTTGAGCGCAAAAAGAAAAAAAAAAATAACAAAAAATGTACAGTCAACCCTTTCCGCAAAACAGTCTGTACGGCGCTCCTAACATGATGCCCTATCAAGGTATGATGCCCTCTCAGGTATCTCCTCAGGGAACTCCGGGAATGATGTCCAACTACAATCCTAATCCTAACCGTGGGGGCTATGATGTGCCGCAGATGGGTCGACAGATGGGACAGCGACCACCACCGCGTCCACGCAACAACGAGATAGGCGAAGTAAGCCGTGTTATTCATATGCGCAATATAACTCCCAACGTAACTCAACTGAGTATTCAGAGCCTTGTTCAGAACTTTGGAAACATAAAACACATCGTGATGCTTCGACAAATGAATCAGGCACTCGTAGAGATGGAGTCCACCAAAAGTGCACAACAATTGGTGGATTTTTTCAGAGAAACAGGTTATGCTGAAATTGATGGTCGTCGTGTATACATTCGCTACAGCAATCATCAAGAACTTACTGCCACTCAACATACAAGCAAGACTTTGTTGGTGTCTATGTTTAACACTCAATATGATGTGTCTGTCGCAGCGCAAATCACCCCAATGGTTGTTTACCAGATCTTTGGAAGCTACGGCACGGTACAAAAAATTGTTGTCCTTCCCAAGAATGAATCCAGTCAGCGTAATCATAACCGTGTGCAGGCCCTGGTACAATTTGATTCTAAGGTGACGGCAGAAAATGTGAAGAACACTCTTCAAGGTCAACCTGTTGCAATTGGTGATACTATTACTTTTACCCTTGACATTCAGTTCTCTCGCATGGATGACATAAAAACCAGCAACCCTGCCATATCGCTAGTGATTAACGAGGACGGCACACCACAAACACCGCAGCCGCAGCCGCAATCACCACCACAAGCGCCACAACAGTCGCCGCACCCGCAACCACAGCAGATGCAACAAATGCAGGGAGGAAGTATGTACCCTGTTATTCCCCAGCAGTGGAGTTAACTCTGATTGGAATGAAGAGATAAAGGGGGTGGGAGAGAGAGAGAGAGAGAGTGAGAGAGAGAGAGAGAGAGAGAGAGAAGAAATTTAGGATCGTGTTTGAAAGAAGTGAGAGTAATTCATATCTCTGATGAAGATGATGAAGAAAAAAAAAAAAGTGACCTGGATGGATGAGTAGGAAGATGAAGGGTCGCAAATCAAGAAAAAAAAAAGAAAAAGAAAACAAACAAGAAGGATTACTATGAGAAAAAATGCTGGAAAAAGAAGATCAAGATACATACAACATTATGAAAGAAAGGTCGAAACAAACAGAAAGAAAGAGAGTCAGACCATTGACAATGCTACAGACTGGGCTAATGCTTAAGCCAATTATCATTAATGAGTAGAGTCATGGCAATGCCACCCTCCAGAATGAAATGAAAAAGAAGAAAACAAACAAACAAACAAACAAAAGATTGTACGGTGAGTGGTTGTAATACATGACAAGAACCTCGTTTGAAGAATGATATTCTTAAGTTCTTTTCCGAAGGAATTGTTGGAGTCACACTCTTGTCTCTTTTTTTTTCTTTATCTCTTTCTGTCTTTTTCATTTTTTTTTTTGCTGTTAGATGTAGACAGCTAAAATAAGTTAACGGGAAAAGATATATATATATATATATATATATATATATATATATATATATGCTCATGGAGGGAAGTGAGTAAAGAGAAAGAAAAGAATGGCAGTGTGATTGATCACACAGTGATGTCTCCTTCAAGTACTTCATTGGATCTGCCTCCAATTTGATTAAAGGGTTTGCGCGACCTGGAAACTTCGGTAATAGAACAGTGGTGAGTTGGATACTGTTTTTGCCGCGATTTGTTGTATTTCCATTTTTTTTTTCGTTTTTTTTTTGCTTTTCTTCCTATTTTTAGCCATGTCTCGGATTGTTTGTTTATTATTATTTTTTTTTCGTGGTGCCCAGCGTTGTACACGTTTTTTTTTTTCTTTTTCGTATCCCTTTCATTTGATCTCCCTTTTTTTTTTTTCTTTTTCCCTTTTTTTTCTGTTTAAGGTATCCGCATAGGAAGCTGACTACACATGGACTCACGTGCACGAATTCCGGACACGCTGACGCAGTTTCTGATGCGCAGTCAGCCCACCAGTAGCCGAGGAGATTTTACTTTACTGATGATAGCCATTCAGACTGCTGTTAAAGTTATTGAAAAGAATATTCGATCAGCGGGAATGCAAGGCCTCTTTGGATACCTGCAAGAGAACAGTGCAAACGCTACTGGGGATACACAAGCTAAGCTGGATGTGGTGGCAAATAACGCATTTAAGGCATATCTAATGGCGTCCACGTGCGTGTCATTCCTGGGAAGTGAAGAGGAGGAATCCCTTGTTTTGGTAGATGGGGATCATCAAGGGGACTATATTATTTTCTTTGATCCACTTGATGGTAGCAGTAATATCGACGCAAATGTTTCGGTTGGTTCTATTTGGGGGATTTGGCGCCTTCCTCCGGGAAAACGAGTTTCAACTATTGAAGAAGCAAATGAAGCACTGAAGGAGTTATGGGGTGAACGTCTTGTCTCTGCTGGTTACGCTATGTATGGTAGCGCTACAAACCTTGTACTGACTACAGGGCATGGCGTGGATGGATTTACACTGGACCCCACAATTGGTGAGTTTATTCATACCCATCCTCATATCACACTTCCTCCTTCCAGGCCAATTTACAGTGTAAATGAGGGGAATTACCGACTTTGGGAACCATGGTTTCAGAAATATATTCAAAATGTCCACACTAAAACCAAAAAAGTATACAGCGGTCGTTATATTGGTTCGATGGTGGCGGATGTTCACCGAACATTACTCTATGGAGGTATATTCTGCTACCCAAATGACGCTAAAAGACCAGAAGGTAAACTACGCTTACTTTATGAGGCTGCTCCCATTGCAATGCTGATGGAACAAGCAGGCGGAAAGGCTTTGACTGGTAAAGGTCGAGTGCTTGATGTTGTACCAGCCAAGCTTCACCAACGCGTTCCGGTTTACATGGGTAGCCGACATGAAGTGGACCTCTGCATTTCATATCAACAACATGAAAAACAACAGCAAAAAGGACGTAGCAAGCTGTAATTTTTTTTTTTCTTTATTTATTTATTCTTAGTGTTGGGAACTGCACTTGTGATTCAGAGAAAGAAAGTAAAACTGGAAAATGAAAAAACGCAAAGGAAAACGGAATGAACTTAAAGAACAGAAGCATATTATTCCCATTAACATTGAAAACGCATTCGGAATCATGTTCCTGTTTCCCCCTACTCTCTGAGCCTTTTTTTTTTTGTTTATGGCCATAATTTCAATGTTTTAAATTGTCTCTTTTTTGAGGGACATTTTTTTTTTTTTTCTTTATTTGTCAGCAACCTTGTTTTTTTTTTTTTTTTATCTTTTCTTTTGTTCCATTTTTTTTTTTCTTCATCGGGTTTCTCACCACCATTTCGACACGGTGAGTGAAAACAAAATTGTATGGGGTACAAACAAGGAGATTTTTCGCATTTCTTCTTGCAATATCTTTAGGACCTTAGGTATTGGTTAAGAACACCATGAAAGAAAAAGGAACCGATATATTGAGGGTGAGAAGAAGGAAAAACTTACTCTGAAATACATATTTGCCAAATGCTATTATAACCGTCATTCTTTTTTTTTTCTTTTTTTTTTTTCTTTTTTTTTCCCATCAGTGTATGTATTGATGTATCTCTCTCTCTCTCTCTATGTTTGTATATCTTTTTTTTTGTTGGTTTGTTTTTTCCTCCTGTTTTTTTTTTTCGTCCTTTGCTTTAATGTTAACTTCTACCCTTTTTTTTCCGTCTCTCTTTTATTATTGTAATTATTTATATCGTGAATTTTAGCCTCATAAGGCAAATGTCAAGAGTAGCGTCAGTTGGGCGAAGGCGATTTGTGGGTCCTTTCACGCGAATAAAGGCGTGGTGGTTGGGGATTGATCCTGAATTATTAGAACGCTACGGAGAACGTGGTATTTTTCGTTCATTCTGGATGGAATGGCGTGGTGTTATTATTGTTGTGTCATCTGGAGTAGTCATATTTATTAACCACAGTCATGGAAACCGCGCTAATGAAATTTTAGAAAATATCGAACTAAACCGACAACGTCATTATAAGCGTGATTTTGCACCGGAGTATGTAATGAACGCACCGGCAGCTGTATATGATGGCGCGAAGGGTTACGCCTATCGTGATGAGGCATCGGGATTAATGTTGAATGCCGATAATCAACTGGTGACGGATCTGACACGCGAGGAGCAGCGGAAACGATTGGAGGGAGTGAAGATATCACCAGAAATGGTGGAGGCAGCGAAACGAATGCGGAATAGTTCACGTTACCAATAAGAAGAAGAAATGCAAAAGAAGAGAAAGAGAAAGAAAGAAATAATGGGATGGTAGTGATAAAGCGAAAAGTCAGGAGGGGAGTTAATTGCTTTTTATTTATTTATTTATTTATTTATTTATTTATTTGTATTTTTCGCATTGCGTTCCCTAACGATATGTCAGTTTCTCTGCACTCCTGTGAGGATACAGGGGTTTTCCTTTTTTTTTTTGCTCTTTCGTTTCGCTTATTGCATTTTTGTGCACTATGTTATTATTATTATTATTCTTTTTGTTCTCCCTTCTCCCTCTCCTTATTTATTTATCTTGACAGTATTGAAGTAAAAGTAAAGAAAAAAAAAAAAGCAAAAACAAAAACACACACATTCATAGCAACAACAAAATTACTCCTTTTACCCTATCCTATACTGTGTGAATGAACGTTCATGTCGTCCCTGGTGGTCACGCTGGGGCTTCAGAACCGGAGGTGCGAGGTTCAGATCGCACAAACACTATTTCGAACACTAAAGGACAAACTCCGAGGCGCAATCAAGATAAATCTGTAGAGACACCACTCTCTCAACCACGGGTAGTTTATGCTGAACAACGTCTTAATACGGAAGCATACGAGAGTTCAGAAGCATTCGCAATTGCAGAAGAGCTGCGTCGTAACACGGAGCTACGAACCAGAGTTCGACTTCGTATTGCCAGTAAAAAACCGGCTGTGAAGAGTTCTACTGGAGAGAGAAGTAATGATTCTGAAGATGTGAATGATCACAGTTTGGTTCGTTCTCCGAGAAAAGAAGAATCTCAAGAAATGGGTAATACTCGTGTTACACATCATGGAAGAGATGATGAAACGAGAAATGTAAGAAAAGATGAAGATAAATACGAATACAGACCCTTATATATTGGTGGGGAAGATTCTAAAGGGGGAACTTCAACAGAAATGAGTGATGACGATGAGGAAGTACCAGTGCCTTACAAATTGCCCTCAGTAGAGGAGAGACTCCGATTGATCAGAGACGAACGGGATCGTCGATGGCATAAGGTACAAGAAAAACTCGCTACTGATAATGCAAAGACTGTAGCACCACGACCCAAAACACTGACCCGTGTTAAGTACGGTGGTTTTAAAGCCCTTCCAGGGCGTAGGGAAACCGATTCTGCTAGCAGTTCATCAATTCTTGCTATTGGGGAGGGTTCTTTATCAGAACCCCAAATATGTGAAGTTCATTTGGAAGATGGGGGCTCTACCACACCTTCTGGGGCACCATCATCGGTAACTGTGGCTCCATCCAAGAGAGAATCATTATACCAACAGAAACAACAACAACAGCAACAACAACAACAAAAAATGGAAAGCAATCAGAATGTAAAAAAGGATGATCTTTTGCATACAAAAAGAGAAGTATCACCCCTTGTGATCGAAAAGGATGATTAAGAGTCTTGGGTGAGTGCGCCAATAACTCTTGATATTTCTGAACGGGTGAGAAAAGATTATACTTTTTAACTCTATTATATTTTTCCTTTTTCCTCATTTTAACGATTCGAATTCGTGATTATCATGAAGGGAAATAAAAAATGAGTAAAGGAAAAAGAAATACTTCTTGCAACCTTCTTAAATCTTTCTTGGGGTTTCCATTACTAGCGACTACGATCACCGCTATTTTTTTATTATTCTTATTCTTCTTATTCTTATTATAATTATAATTATAATTATTATTCTTATTATTATTCGTGGGGATTGGTGGAGTGATTCCCTGATTTATGGTTTTTCATTCTTTTTCCCCCATCCCTTGTTTCTGTTTGTTCCTGAAGAGGGGTGTAGTTCTCCTGCATTATTAGTCTGTCATCCAACGGATGCGACGAGTACTACGGCTTCTGCCGGTTTACTCTGCATCTCCGCTGGCGACCGTCCCACGCACGGCCTGTGCGCTGCGGTTGTTTCGCTCGCAGGCCGCCGCTGCCGCCGACGCGGAGGCCGCCGAACTCGAGAAGGACAAGGCGGCGCTGCGGAAGTACGCGATGATTGGCGCCTTCGCGGTGGTCTGCGCGGCGACTGTGTGGTACGGCGCGGGGCGGGCGAAGCGGCGGTACTTCGGCGCCGAGGGCAGCGCGCGGGTGAATGTCGAGACGCGCGGGCGGCCGGCGCTCGGCGGTCCATTTGTTCTCGTCAAGACGGACGGGGAGCCCGTCACGCAGGCGGAGTTCCTCGGCGCGTGGACCTTTTTCTATTTTGGCTTCACACACTGCCCGGAGATATGCCCGGTGGAACTCAATCGCATGTCAAAAGTCGTAGACGCCGTGCGGGCGAAGCGGCCGGGGGATGTCATTCGGCCGCTCTTCGTCTCGTGCGACCCGCGCCGCGATTCGCTGGAGGCCATTGAGGAGTATCTCTCCGCCTTTCACCCAGACTTTGTCGGCCTCGTCGGGACACCAAAGCAGGTCCACGACGCATGCAAGTCGTATCGTATTTACTATTCACTCCCAAGCGATGAGGCAGTGGAGGAAAACGATTATTTAATAGACCACAGCATCGCTATCTTTCTTTTTGATCCAAAGGGGCGCTTCGTTGACTTTTTCGGAAATCGTTATGACGAGGAAGAGATCACGCAACGTGTATTGCATTATATGGAGCAACTAGAACGTGATCCAGAATGGACAAACTGGTAGACCTTGTTGTTCTGATTATTATTATTATTATTATTATTATTATTATTATTATTATTATTATTATTATTATTATTATTATTGTTTTTTTTTTTTCCTTCTCAAGGTAGAAAAGAAGAAGGAAAGATGGGGAGAGGGAGGGAGTCCTCAAACACATCAAAAACGCAATTGGACAGAAACTCTTCTTTTACACTCCTTTAAAGACACACCCTCACTGGTTTATTAAATTTTTTCCGTTTCATTACATGTTTTTTTTCTTTTATTTTTATCTTTTTTTTCCCTTTTTTTTCTTTCTTTTCTTTCTCGGCTCTTACTGCATTCTGTCACTAACCGAAGACCTGTACCAAATAGCTTCACTATATTCTGCCACTTGCCCGTGAGGGTGTGAGTGGTTGATAGTGGGGTCACGTATCAGTGATTTCTTTGTTTTTTTTTTTTTTTATTCTTGATGGGGGAAAAAAACAAAGAAAAATAACGATGGGGGAATTGCGGTGCAAAGTAATTCTACTGGGTGATGGCAAAGTTGGCAAGACTTGTCTTCTTTATAGCTACGCGAATGGATTGGAGTATCTGGCAAGACGAGAGGATTATAATCCAACCCTACTGGAGAACTATGAACTCTTACTCCCTATTAATGAATCCAACAAGAATACTACAGAACCTAAAACCGTGAGGTTGAGTTCGTGGGATACTGCAGGACAGGAAGAGTTTGATGAACTTCGTCGAATGTGTTACACTAATAATGTTTCACGAGGTAGAAAAGAAAATGTCCAATCTAGAGTAGTTTCATCATGTGAAGTATCAGTTTTTATTCTCTGCTTTGCATGGGATGATCCTCAGAGTCTTACAAGTGTGCAAATGCGTTGGTATCGTGAGATTAGACGTGTAGAACATGAGATGGCATATTCTAATAATGACAATCGCCGAAGACGACCATTTAATGTGTTGTTATGTGGGACGAAGTTTGATTTGCGGGTTGAGGCAGATAATCGTGGGATTACTCAAGGAATGGTCACACGAGAACAGGCGTATACTGTACAACAAAGTATAAAGGCTAATGCGTTGGTATGGTGTAGCTCTAAAACAGGCCTCGGTGTTAGGGACGTATTTCACACAGCTGTTTTGCTTTGGCTACAAGACCAACCGTTGTACATGAATCCCCAGTTAAGGATTTACGCCCAAGATGATTCATTAACATGCGAAGATGATGATACCGTTGAGACGAATGATGTCGGAGTAACTGCTAGAAGCAGCTGTCAATTGCTTTGATAACCTTCTTTTTCTAAAGATATTAGTGGTATACGGGTAGTATAACCTTTTCTGTTACAGTGATATGCGGTGTAACACACTCTATCTTTTTGCATTTCATTCACACATTTTTTCCTTTTTGCATATTGGAAAGAGAAACAACAACGACAAAAAAAAAAAAAAATAGGCGTTTCTGACGCATATTATTATTATCTCTCATGTATTCTTTTTTCTTTTAAACTTTCTTTTTCTTTTTTTTCTTTTTTTCTTCTTTCCCCGTCTTTTATTCCCCGGTGTTCAAAGGGGAAGGTAGGGGTCCACGCAAGAAATGACAACACGCTCGGTTGCACGCATTGATGAAAATATGGACCCGCGACACTTCGGCACTTCCACTGATGACACCGCCATCTACTTGGAAGACTCTATGGACGAACCAACTGCCCGCTGTATCAGTTCCTCTCCATCAGTAGTGGCAATTCTTTCACCACAGAAATTACCCCCCAGCAGCGGCCACGCTGTTGACCTCACAGACTATGATAACGGTTGCAGTGGGGGTGTATCTAGCGTTAAGGTTAGTCGTAGTCATCCGCTTTCGGATTTGACAAATACAGGTGTTACCAACTTGCATTTCTCCAAGTCACCCACCCCAAGACGTTCGGTATCTTCGTCATTACTCCAAAAACGCAGTTCTTCAGGAACACCAGGTTCCTCACAAAAGCATCATCATCATCATCATCATAATAAGCAGCAACATGGTTCTCACCATCATAATGGGGTATCCTCAGCACTGTGTATGGATTCAGACCATCATGAGGAGCGTACTGTACCATTGGCGGAGTATGAAAGACTTCAGCGAGAACGAAATCGATACGAAAAAATGTATGAACATCAGAAAGTACTCTATGAAGAAATGTCTGAGAGGCAGAGTGATACATACAAGGAATTACAGGAAAAAATTATTGAAGTTGTTGCCCTTTCTACACGTAATGAAGAGAACAAGCGATTTATTCGACAATTAAAACGGGAAATGGCAGACAGTCGGACACGTGTTATGAATATTCAAAATCGTGCAATGGAAGAAACAAAAATGGAAAAAAGTGCTCGAGAGCTTTATCAGACTCAATTGTGTGAACAACGTGAAAAGTATGAATCTTGTATTGAAAAACATGAGTCCAGAATAGCTGGACTTGAAAGCTTACTAAAAGATATTACTTCTATGAAAGGTGAATGTGATAGAATACAGGTATCACAACTTGATGCCCTTTTAAAAGCTTCATATGCGAAAAATACTGCCCTCTTTGGTGATTTACTTCGTCAGGGCCGCCAAATAGATATGCTTTTTGAAAGCAAAGCTGGACTTGAGAAGCAGTTGGAACAATTAAGACGTGAGAAGCGTGAGATGGAGGCTTCTTGGTCTGAGGAACGGCGTCGAATGATGGATGAGACAAAACGATACAGTGCACAAGTGAGTGAGCAGCAGCGCTCTATCCTAGAGCTGCGTCAAATGTTAATTCGCAGTCTTGAATCTGCTACACTTGCCCAGAAGGAGGGGGATAACAGTGGTGAAGAGGGTGATGATGATTCTGATAAAACAGACAGCAGTAGTGGTAGCAGCAGTTACTCCTCTGAGGGAAGCTTAGAGGATGATAGAGGACTTATTGGAAATGATGAAATTGTTGCTGCCCCTGCCCCTGCCCCTACATCTGTTCCTGCTGATACTATTATTAAGACTGCTCCACACACAGTAGGAAAGGGAACAGCAGCTACTGTATCTGCCGCAGTGGGAGAAGGAAAAGAGAAAGTGCAGCCACCACTCCCGCATACAGAGCGGCCATTAGAGCGCCGAATGACGGATATAGCGACATTATCCTCGCAAATCCAGGCGAAGCTAAAGTCCCTTCCACCAGGACGGATCTGAGAAATTTTGTGTGTTAAAAAAAAAAAAAA